TCAGCCATCAACCAACAGTACCAATAAAAACGACAACAAAGACCTATACCAACCTTGCAATAGCTAAAGAAGATTAGTTTATAAGGTGACATAAATAAATATATCAACTATCTATGCCGAGGTTTATGGAAAGTAGGTTTTTTGAGTTGTTAGAATTGTGTTTTAACATGTTGATGATGCGCTCATAGGCAAACTGAGACACACCGATTGACGGCACTCTCTTTTACGATCATGTATAGGCACGGTGACGACATGCTGGCAATGGTACGCGTGCTTATCGATTGGTGTAGATGAGCGCGGCACAGGTGCTAGTGATGCAGACCATCAAGAAGCAAGGTTCTGGTTATGTCCTCTAACGACACGTTTCTCCTAAACTAACGACCGAACACCTTAGCCCGATTATCTTTAAAATTGGAAGGAGAATTGACTCGATCAACTTTCTACGACTTTCATAAAGAAGACGAAATCCTCACACATCAACCGATACAAAATGCGAAGCCTTCGAAGCTTTCATGGGTGATGAATGTGAGGAAAATGAATCGAATGCAAGAAGTTCAGGGATCCGCGTAGTAGATGTGGTCATGGTTTATCTAAAGCAAAATAAAAAACAGTGTGCCTAACATCGGCCATTGCTCGTACATGGGCTTTCTCAATGTATTTGTCTCTGAAAGAATTACAAGAGACCAGGTATAGCTAATCCGAACCTATGGAATAACGATCTCTACCGTTAGTGCAAACTATGCAATTTTATGTTGTACAGAGACGGTCATACCATTGGTTAAGAACTAGCTGACTTTTTAGAGTGTTTGTGTTGTCACAATTACTGCCACTAAATTTTTTTACCAGTCCCTTTTTAAGCATTGGTTTATGACTGTGCTTACTTCCTTAGAGGTAAAGGGCAAGTTAAGCGAGCTCTGTTTTCGTTAGGTTTGTCGTTTGAGGGCTTTGCTTTCCTCCAAATCCATCCAGAGGTGGTACTGTTTCGTAGCTACTGGAAATGGCTGTTCGGAACGTAAAGTTCAGAGATTCCTCTGCTCACCTCCTATGCACACACTGGTGGCTATTCCAAACAAGTTTTTCAAAAGCCATCTTTTTGTGTTTGAGTGGGGGAGAGTGGTAATGAGCCAGTATAGTTTTGTTACCTGGCTTCCTGCACCACTTGGTTATGTAGCCGTTCTAGGATGAGTGAATTCAAATGTTCAGAAATGAAAGCTAGTTCTTGCTCCATTTCTTTCGAGTGAATTTTACGGGCTTTGACTGTTCGCTCAATAACTCGAAACAATTGTCCACCTTCACTTATGTGCAGCAGATGACAAAGTAATCGTCTTCATATTTACAGGAAAGCAACAGCCAGAGACCGACTACTTGAGCTGCTATTTGAGACATGAATGCAATAGCAAGGCCTGGCGTCAGACGTTCTCTCACTGCCAACCCTTTCATTTGTGTGAAATTCTTCCTGCACCACCTAAAGATTGAGCAGTTTAGGCACTCCTTCAAGAGAGCCGTGTGCTACTGAACGGACAATTCATAGGTGTTCATTGCCGATCCTTGTTGTATAGGGATCTTTCGGTTGGTTCGCATTTTGGAATCGCTCTACCCATTTGCATAAAGGGCGATAACGTCGAATGATTCTATTATGTACATGCCATCGAGAGACGCGTTATGCATATTTTACGGAAAGATTTGTATTCTCGCGAGATGGAATGGAATGTGTTTCAGAAACTGGGTGAATATTACGTTTATGAACCAGGTTATTCTAACTATGGGCACGTATACACAGATGATAATGGATGAGCTGAATTTTGAAAGGATCATAGACGAAAGATTATCAGCGGATAACGGCTTAGATGTTTAGTAGGTAAGTAAAAAACAAGACGTTTTAATTTTTTTCAGAGTTTCACAGTTTCAAGATGGTAAATCATTGACGGTTTCAAACCTATCGCCCTTGCCGGTTCGCGTTCAATTTTCTATGCCAACTTTAAAATCGCTTTCAGATGTGATTAATGAAGCCAAGCGTGTTCAGAACGTTTTTCTGCTTTTCGGGGCAAACAGCCATTTCCAATGGCTACGAAACGGTAGTTCCTTGGAAAAGGTACGCAGGAAAAATAAGGCCACCAAACGACAAGTCTTAAAAAAACACGATCCAGTTTAACCCGCTCTTTATTTCCTACAAAGTAAAGACGGCTACAAGGCGAGGCTTAAAAGTGGTCGGTCAATAGAATTACCTAACAGTGGTTAAACTATTAGAGAACACTACGTCGGCAGCCGTTTCGTAACCATTTGCTGGGCCGACTTCTTATAACACAAAACGGCATACCTTACCCTAACGGAAGAGGCCGTGACTGCATGGGCACGGAAAAGTTGTATCTGACCCCTTTCAAGGCTTGCGTAGACAACTGCATTGGTGCAACGGCTGTACCATTCTGCGTTCGTATGAGTTCGTATAAAAGAGCACTTAATTCAGAAATTTGAGCTCAAACAAAACACTCCACTAGGATCGCACCGGACACAGAGATATAAGTGAGAAGATTTTAAAGTAAAAGTCACTATTCTCGCACAAGACTCCACAACATAATCCGCTAGAACTCAAACTATTTTGAAGAATTATACAAATCCAAGAATGAACTGTAAAGAGGAGTGCCTTGTGATCACATGAGACCTCGCACCATATGTCAGGCTGAATTTTTGACCTGAGCCATGCAACATTCCTAGCCTTTGTAAGACACTGCGCTGCTAGTCTTCACCAAACAACAAGAAGGCTAACAGAGTACAACACAGTGAGTATTTAAAAGAATCTGTTTGCTAAGCGAATAATATTTATGCAATAAGCTCCTTTTTTCGTCAGGATATGAAAGTGCTTGGCTGAGCAGATTGCATGTTAATTTAATCTTTCGTGGCGGTGATGAAGGCGAAACCACAGAAAGGTCAGCTACTAAATGCTGTAATAACCATCTTGTCTTGGCTCATTAAGAAAACTGTGAATTATTGATCAATGTCGAGGTTAACAGTAAGTCAATCCTGGAACAGGAATGGAGCTTTCCTTTGTTATGGCTATCAATGTTATGCATAATCTTCGTTTCAGTCCCCCTATAATTGAACCACTAGTACTAGTCATAAGAATCAGAACGAAATAGTATTACGTCGAAAAAGATATTGTGTTTGGATGCTATATAAACTTGCTCCAAGGCCACCATGGCATATCTAGTTCTTATTCTTGCTCTCAACACGCCTCCATTTCTTGCTTCTATTCTCTTTAGCTCAATAAGTCCCAAGGGCCTCACACCAATAGTATTCCAAAAAACTGCCGAGCACTGCCCAAATATGTAATTCTGTAGTAGTCCTCAGTTGTTTGGAATACTTACGGGCGTCGGATAGAAAGGTCATTCCTTCGCATAGGATACAAATAAGAAATAGATGCGTAGCAAAGGCAAGAATAGGAACTGCACCTGCCATTGGCGTTGGAGCAACCTCATGTGCATTGCTAAACACAAGATCTTTTCTAGTATAACACTACTTCGTTCCGATTCTTATAAACGAAAACAGTGAAACTGTTATAACGACAATAAAACAAAGCCTATGCTTAACAATGATAGCAATAAAAGATAAAAAAGAATAAAGCTCTCAGCGTTGATCAACCCCTGAGGGATGCCCCATGCACTCGACTTTATTAAGCATCGTTTGGAGATGACTGAATGCATGTCTGGCCTTTACAATAATTTGCGGTGGCCTACCAATGTATCGAACCAGTGCTGCTATCTTCCCAGACAAGTCTGGTACCAATATGCCGAGCCCGGAGGGGTGGAAGGTTTGGTGGGTCATATGCAAGAGGATAGATTCCACTTGTGTGTTGCAGGGTGCCTCCGATCACTGCGCCACACGCGCCTCTATGAAAGCAATAACAAAAAAACTACTCTTATCGGTAAACCCATGGTTGTTACGTCAATTTATAATTCTGTAAAGCTGCACAGAAATGTAAATTAAACGCGAAAGGAGAGGAAACTCACGTAAAATACCACCACCGTTACATCCATCTTTAGAGAAAAATGCAAACGGCACTGGTGCACGAAATCCGCCTGGTACGGTGCTAAACATGACTAAGAATACCGTTGACGGAACGAAATATGCAAGTACAATAGCACAACGAACACTTCGCGGGGTTATTATATGTCTGAAACGTTAGTGATAAAAAATAGTTCGAAGGCTAGTTACAGTGAAATGTCCAGTGAAATTTTTCCTTCAAATTTAATTGTCCTGTGATGACCAGTAACTTCGATTTTTGGTTTCATACTTTAAAGAAAACTTCTTCATTATAGTAAAAAGAAGAGGCCCCGTTCCTCCTAGTGCTTAAAAGTGCCTCACAATGCATGCTGGATCGATCCCGGGTTCGATTCCGCACCACTTACATGCCGACCTTTCCGTGCCTCCGGGCTCGGCAAATTGCTACCAGCCTTTTCTGGGTGGATGCCAACATCGACTTGAAAGATCGGCAGGCCACCATAATACGTTGTACGAAAGAGACGTATGTTTAACAATCTCACTGAAGCTACGAATGGAGTCAAATACATAGGTCTTCTTTTAGGGATTGATCAGTTCTGTATGCTTTGTACTTCACATTTCTTTGTAGTATTTGTGCCGAGGTTAAACGTTTCCCAATTTTGGAGAGTTCCGTGTTTTATCTTTTATTTAATATTTCTTGTCACCAGTAGAAGTTTTCTGAAATCCAGTCGATAGTGAAGAATTTATTCATTCTTACATTGTTTACACATTAGCTTTCAAACTCTAAGTAAGAACTAAAACTCTAAGTATAAGCAGCATAAAATTAGTTTTTAACCAATCCAAACCATTACAAGGTTTGGAAAAATCCGGTCCGCAATGGCCTTCGGTGGAGATCCAACACGATAATATTCTTTCCAGAGGCCAACTAACGCGTTCAACACCACACCATGCGAGTCCTTCTTTTCAGCTTTCGCTTAGCTAGTTTTTCATTTAGTAGTGCCATCAGCAATCACCCGTCAGTGAAATTTATTTGAAGAGTACAAATCGGCATAGAACTGAGTTAAGCTGAGGCGTGCAGGGTGATTGCTGATGGCAGTGATAGATAAAAAACTAGCTGAGAGAAAAGCGAAACGAAAGACCTGCATGGTGTGATGCTGAACGTGTTAGCCCGGAAAGGGTAACACCATTTTCGATCCCCATTTCAGACACCTGTGGTCCATGGCTTTACAAACATCTCGGTAACGTTGTTGTTGTATTTCACATAATACCCTGAGTGAAAATTGTAGTAGGCAGCAAATAAAAAAGTTAACATTATGTGAATGATTTTTAACAGTTTGTTGTCCACTTTTCCTATCGTGACTGGATTAACAACATAATTTAAGATAAGAGACAACTGCCCAAAATATTTAAGAAGATCTCATATGTGGTGACATTAAAGGATAAAGGGTAAAATGCTCGCCGTTGATGAAACGCTCAAGGAGGCCACATGCATTCGACTTCGTTCGTAGCATCAAAGAGATGATTTTACGCATATCTGTCCTTTATAATGAGTGGCAGGACTCTATCCATGTTTAAAATAAGAGCTTTTCCATGAGAACAATCTAGCATCGATTTGAAAAGTAATAGAGCAAAACATTTTACTACTGCAGTACCCGGGTCTTTTAGAGGTGGACAAGGGAATAAAGACATTTAAGAAAATAGCTGATGTAAGGCTACCACACTCTTACCTGTGTGGTTGTTATTTTTAGATCTCGATAAATAAATGACGTAATGCTACAGTTTTCAATCCCAAGTCCAATACTTTTTACACCGAGTAGGGCATAGTAGGACAAATGAGCAATTTCTCAATAAGTAATACACTGTAAATCTGCAAGTGGGATGTTTTTAATCGAAGATACCAGCTGTGATGTCTTTACGGAACCCGTCCATTCACACGAGAACATTTCGCTGCTACCATAAATTTCATTCGCTGTATTTTCTTCATATTGACCTTCGAAATTTAAATTATGTAGAAAATTTCTCACCGACGTAATGGATAAACAATTCCTATATAATGATTCAGTGCTAGCGCTAATAATGTGAATACAGATGCAAAAAATGTCGCCAATTTGAACACCTAAAATAAGAAAAAAAATCTGCTAGCCGTATAAAAGGATAAAAAATAAAGGATAAGGCTCTTGGCATTGATCAATTCCTGAGGGATGCGCCGTGCATTTGACTTAATTAAGTATCGTTGGAGGTAGATGAAGGCATATCTGGCCTTTATAATAACTAGCGGTGGCCTACCGATGTATCGAACCAGTGCTGCCATCCTTTCAGACAGGTCTGGTACCAATTTTCCAGCCCCGAAGGAATAGAAGGCTTGGTGTGCAATGGGCGCGAGATAAATTCCGCGTGTTTTTTGCAGTGCGTCTCCGACCACTGCACCACACGCGCCCTAAGCCGTATAGGTAATGAAATCGAAGAGAAAAAGAAGACGGAAATGAATTCACATGAAAATTTACATTACTTGTTCATTTTTATCTCATCAACATACCTCAAGTAGTAGTGACCAACAGTTAGACAGTATATTCGGCAAAATCACATTGATTACATAGGTAAGAATATAGAAGAAAGCACATAGAGCATCGGATGCCGTTAAACTTACACACAAACGTGAATTCACACCAATTGGTCGTCGTAAATAACGTGAACACTGAAATCGTTTTTACAAGAGGACGAAGAAAAACCATGTGAACACCGGAAATACAGTAATCGCTGAAGTGTTAACAACTTGTTTCCTGTTTTCATAAAGTTTCTGAAAATAATTTCAATACAGTTTTGAACACTTTTAGATACGCCATTAATACATACATTGTTTTTAAAAATAATGTTAGAAGCAATTTTGAACATCCCATTATATATTGCTACCTACGGCATTTTCATTAGGAAGCCCAACTAAGAGTAAACTAATATCAGGAACCACCACCGTTCTGCTACCAAACTAGTCGCATAGTGGCAAATCTCCCTCTGATCCACGAGGGTGGAGACTGCCTCTGGTTGTGAGGACTTAGGGTAGGCTCTCGCGGGGCTAGACGCGGGACTCCAGGGAAACATAATATCTAAAGCAGCAAAACTCCGAAAAAATGTAAATTATATTGGAGCCGGCACAACCAATGAAGACTGGCTATCCATGTAACCAAGTTAGTAAATATTGTTACCCACAACGGCAGTAATGCTTGCAATAAATCCTCAGCAGGATATGACCACTCTGAAAAATAAGGAAACTGTGACAAAATTGTTGATTAGAAAGCGTTTGCATTCGGTTCTACAAGGAACAGAAGCTGAAAAAAATACCAGACTATTGGATTTGTTTGTGAAAATTTTTTTTATGTGTCTTATCACTCTTTGCTGAGCTTTTCGTATTTTTTTCCATCTCACAGCATTTGCACATTGTTCCGAACCAAACCTCTTAATCTAACAAAAAAACGACTTCATTAAGAAAAATAAGTAGAACTTACAATGAGTAGATACAGATTTACAACTAGTGCAATCACAGAAATGACTGAAAGCGGAATCGATGAATAGAAGGACAACTGAATAAGAAACAGATGGTCCTCTTCAGATAGTGACACGCTCATAACTGAAAATGAATAAAATTAGAGTAATTGAGCACTAAGGGACGTGAACCCTGTTAAAAGAACACGAATTTTGTACATCAATCAATTCCGAACGGTGATCGATCCATAATTATTCGCTCTTTTCTTTTTTGACCTATCCTGATTACACTTTGCATCACGATAACCACCGTTGAACTCGTTGTTGAGAAAAAACAAGGCTAAGTACGAAATGCTAGAGAATAGTTTATAGTAAGTGTAGTTCACTTATAATAGATACACGACTTTTGCGAAACAAAATATTTTATACGAAATGAGGAAAATTCTGGCGCCAGTAATATCTCCTTACCACAGAGTAAAATGAAATCACCTAGATTGAACCGTTATGAACCATACATTTAACTTCATTACTGCAACACAGAGATTGCTGAATGCACATTTGCATATGCATTGAGATCTACCGATGCATGAAGTCTCTGATTTTGCCCTCTTAGACAATTCTAGTATAGGCTTACCGATCCTGGAAGACGTTGAGCTCGGTCGGTCCAACGAGGAGGATTGAATCCAGATACTCTGTGTCCTATAGGGCACCTCTAATCATCGGCTCACCACGTTATGGCACCATTTCATTTACTCACAGCACATATTTCATATATGGAAACGTTTATAAACTAAATGATACTAATGTCTAGGTTCAGAAGGTTGTGACGTTGGTTTAAAGCAGAAAGGCGTTTAAAATGAATAAAAATCAGTAGTGGTTCTACTTACGGCTTCAGCAACACGTAGGAGATGGAACGTTGATATGATTAAAATTGTGCTCTGAGTCATTAAAAAATTTAAGCAGTAAGTTAAATACAATACTACAAAGTATTACTAAACTGTGTATGGAAAACAACAAGCTGGTATTTTGTACAAATCACAAAGATAAAAAGATCTCGGCCTTGGTTAAACAGGTTGTGAGTAAAAATAACGGAATAAATCTCCGATAAATGATTTTAGCTTTCAAATCCTGAATTCGCTTTGACTTCAACTGAGATATTTTACGGTTGATTGCTGGTGGCACTGATCGATAGATCTAGCTGAGAGACGGACGATACTAACGACCCGCGTGGTGTGGTGGTGCGCGCGTTAACCCCCGGAAAGTGTATTAGCGCGTTCGTTTCCCACCACCCCACCACACACACCTGCAGTCCGGAGTTTTGCAAACATTTCGGCATCGTTATGGTTGTATCACCCATAATACTCTGCCGTGAAAAATATAACAGGCAGTAAATAAGTAAATAAAAGCTAATATTGCGATTTCGACTACAGCTCTCAGCCCAACTGGATTCGTTGTCGATTTCAGCTCCACAGATCAATTCTTCTGATGGGTGAATGCTGATGGTACTGATCGTTAGAGCTAGCTGAGAGATAGGCGAAGCAAATGATTCGCATGGTGAGGTAGTGAGCGCCTTAGTGTTAGCCCTTAGTAAAGGTAATACCTCGTTTGTCTCCCACCGTAGACACCTGCCGCCAGAAGTTTTGCAAATATCTCAGCAATATTGTTGTTTTATCACACCTAGTACCCTGCCGTGAGAAAATGTAATAGGCAGTAAACAAAAAGTTAACAATGGGATATTTTAATTATCATCGACATAAGTAGAAGAAAGGATTCAGAAGAAACAACACCTAAATAAAACCGACAAGTTAGGACAGTTTATTACGAAATAAAGTACTACAAAAAAATTTGATCCTAAAGTCATATTTTGATTCCTCTAAAAACACGAGTAGATTCACTTCTTTATACGCGAGATATTTGAATTTACATTTCCCTATCTAACGCATATGGGTTTAGTAGACACAGAGTAAAACGGAAACCAAAAGCGACTATGAATTGCAGTCAGGTAATAGTGGTGATTCGAGTTCGCCTTCAACAGACGCCTTGTATATACTGCAGAACATCCCGATTATCCACCATCAGGCCATGGAATGTGCCGTTTATTCAGCTCTACTAACACTGTTAGGATTTAAGACCGATTCTTCGCAAGTTGCTGATAGACTTTGGACAATGTAGTCGGAAGTTAGAGTATTCCTTTAAAACTGCTATTTGAAATTTAAATTTGCATAAAGTTAAAATGGCCAAGAGCAAATGAGAAAAAAGTGCGATTTCTTACAATTGAAAACGAAAGCTCTGTAGTTATAGACATCAGTAGCGCATTTTGAGAATTCATTGTAATAGACGAAACACCTGCTCTTCAATGCCTTCCGTTTTCCAAGTACGAAACTCGACAGAAAAAAATGACGAAACTGCGATTGCTGAGCTTCTTAAAATTAGAATATAATTTTCTCAGAATAAGAGATCTTGTACATTATTTTCAAGATTCAACAAATTGTAATGGCTTCCATTACAATTAACAAAGCCGATTTTGAGCAAAAGTATGTTGTCTTTTACTTGTAGGTTGCCGTTTACTTCACATCGTGTGATTGTCCATCAACTTCCGTTGATCCCTAAGTGTCAAGCATCGCCGTGGTAATTGAAACCATATTTGGGCCACAATTTGAAAAAACCAAAAGACGAAAAATGGTGAGCTGGAAAATGCGTGGGACTATGTGAGGTATGGCTGTTAATACCAGTGTGCTTACCCGGAAGGCATGAATAGCTTGCAGTTTCCCTCGGCTACCACTAAATCAACGACCCACGTTTACCTCGCTATGCACCTCTAAACTCTGCGCTGCTTTTATCTTAAAACGACATATACGTATTATAATTTAACGCTGTTATGCTCTCGAAGTTCTCTAGCGGATGATATTGGAAAATAGTCAGGAATAAAATGAGAACGAATGAAAATACGTCTAAAAAGTGTTAAAGAACGATCGAGAAACAACACATGTGGCTTTCTGCTTTACAAGATGTCTGCTGATAACATGAAACTAGAGAACATGGCTATCAAATAACAAAGTATCCAATAACTATCACTATTCGTTCAGCGAGTTCCTCGATTTTATAAATTCTTTGTGCTAGCAAGCATGATAAGTATTTAACAGAATAACAGTAAAATTCGTTTTGATGTATTTCCTCGAATAAGAAACAGATCGAATGTAGTCCTCAAAACGTGCACATTAGCACGCGCTGATTGCGAAGCGCTTGCTTGGACATTGACAGACGCTTTTTTGCAGTTAAAAAAGTTAGAGTAAGAGAAGATGAATACTGACTGAATACTTTAAGGAACTTATAAAACGATAGAACTAGCTGAGAGACAGGCAAATCGATGGACCCGGATGGTGTGGTGGTGAAGTGCGCTGCTCCCCGGTAAGGACAACAGCGCGTGTTCGTTCCCCACCGCATACACCTGCGGTACGGAGTTTTGCAAGTATCTCATCATCATTGAAGTTATATTTCACTTTTAGGAGCTATTTTACAGTTTCGATATGATCTGTGTAACAAATTTCTTGGCAGATTTGCTGTCAAAAACACCCTGTGTTTATTCGAAGTCGGGGTAGCACCAAATGAGTTTGATTTAAAAAAAATTTTCGCCAATTTTTGTAAGCAATACTAGAGCACATTTAATAGGCGAGTGGGACGAATAATTCGAAGGGTTCCCTCAATCACTCTAACTGGGAATCAGTTGTGGGCTCCAGCCATGCTGTTGCGCCTTTCCTAATACTTGTCGTCTTCTCATTTTGCTACAATATGTTGAGGCAAATTAATGGTAGGCTTTACGAGCATAACAAATTACAGGTCAACCGCGTTCAAATGACGGGTACTGCAAAAGTTCACTTCTCATAAAGGACCCTATCAAATGACCTTGTTCATTAAGGTCGAGGCTATTAGGTCTTTAATGCCGACTTGAAGAAATGATCATGTGAATAAGAATGAAATCCACTCTGTGTTCTAGTGAACGCCATAACAAAACATGTTTTAAAAAAAACGTGCTTTAGTTGTGTCACTTTTATCAAATATAATCTCCTTAATAATTAAAGGAATTTAGCGGCGAGTAATTTCTACATTCGTTACTTCCCTGTTTTCACAAAAGCTGTCGAATAAACTGCTTTTGCTGAAAGAACAAAAAATGCGTTAGATTTGTTATACCAGATTCCACTCTCCCTTGTCATTTCTCATGAGAACGCACCCATGGGTCGCTCCACAGGCGCTACTGTGAGAAGCAAGGATCCATGAAAGTAGATTGTCGGGTTTCATAAAGTAAACCTTAAGCTA